CTTTATTGAAAAAAAAATACTTCTTAGGGAGAATGAGTGGTCATATTTAAATTTTATAAACAACAGAGTAAATTTAATGGAAGTAATCTCACAATATATGCACCCTTGTGACCGTGACCTTTTGACATCTGAACCACTTTAACATGCATGTTGTGATCAGTCGTGTCAGTTCGTCTTTTCGTTTTCTTCTTATCTCGACAGTTCAATCCCTGATAATACAAGCTAAACTGAATACATTTTTAGTATAATGTTAGATACAAAAATCGGATAATAGATGCCCGACCCTTTTCCCTACCCCACATCAAACACTTGCATAGGTTGAGGATATTGGGAATAGGGAAATCAAACGTGAATTAAAACAGGGCTGATATTTTCGATCGCTCTATTGGCAGAAGATTAGCCTTTGTCGCATACCAAATGTCGCTATAGTTTCAGATCTCGCGAAGTGAGGCGATATTATGCGTATCTATAAAATGACCCCACAAAATGATTTTTCAAAGGTATGTAAAGTACATATTCGAGTATGTGACATATATATATATATATATATATATATATATATATATATATATATATATATATATATATATATATATATATATATATATATATATATATATATATATATATATATACATATACACATGCATACATACATACATACATATCTGGCATTTGGACCCACCCAACCTCCACTGATTTTAAAAGGAAATGACATCGAGGATATAAAAAAATACACAAAACTTTGTCATTTTATTCATCAAATTATAATTTCTAACCTGATTGCACCCAGGGGTCACTGACACCGTCAAAGTATTGGCATATGGAATAAAACGAGAGTTTTGGTTATCGCCACAGTCGTTATACTTGCGTTTCGATGTTCAAGGAACAGATTAAGGGAATTAAAAGTTTTTTTTTAACAATGCCTTAGATATAGAAGGTCTTATTTTAAATAACTAGGATGACCAATGAGGAGAACATGGGCGTTTGCTTTCTCTTTAAGCCCAGTGTAAAGCATGAAACTGTAGAGCGGCATCTCGTACCCTAAAGGTCAACTGGTCGAGACCAACTTATCGCGGCAGACATTATAAACAAAATTGTTGATAAAATCAGACATTCTGTTGTGCACCTTTATTGATATTCTCAATTATTCTGTAACGTTTTGTAGTTACATCTCTTGAAAAACATTTTTACAAGAGTTCTTCCTTTTTATTTGTTGATTTATTTTTAGAAATATTCAAACTATAGTAAAAGTCATGCAGATCATGTATGTTCATTTACTCAAATTAAGTAAACTATAAATTGTAGTTTCAAACCAAACTCTATTCAGCCCTGATTATTGAATGATCTGCACCTAACTGATATGAAAAGTATCGACTTTTACAAAGATGGCCGTGTACATGCTGTGTCAAGAAAGCGTTGTGTTTAGTCTAATCGTCACAACATAGGGTAATAACAAAAATTTGTCTATCAACATGCGCAACATTCATTGTGATACCATATTACGCGACAGATTGATTGTACATGATGGTCTCATCCAAAACTGTCCATGTAATTTGACCTTGATTTTGTCGTACGTACTTCTCTGAGCGTGTAAATAATTACTTCCCAATGGATCCTGATCAAACAGATATTTGCCATTTAAACGTATGTAGAATCAAATTCTAAAAAAGACACCCATTACTGAAACAATCAGTTTTAAACGCCTACATGACCCGTATGACTTTTAATAATAATAATAATAATAATAATAATAATAATAATAATAATAATAATAATAATAATAATAATAATAATAATAATAATAATGACTTTATTTAAAGAAGCTCATTTAGTCAACTGGCTAATCTTCCACGAGACCTTCTAATATTCAAATTGCAAATATTCGACGCAGACAACGCAGGTTTTACTGAAATGGACTGTTCGAGAAAACAGAAAAGGACAGTGAAGAGTCTGTTCGTTTGTTGACAGTTAGGGACCTCCTGGCGAAATTCAGATTAGAAATTATAACTTGATTAATAAAATGACTATATTTTGTGCATTTTTTTATATCTTGGGGGATGTAGGAACAAAACAAACAAGAAGATGTTTGATTAATAGGTGGTTTGTTGTTAGAATTTTGATTTGCGATTATACAGTTTATTTCGCTACTCGTCGATCAATATTCCTTGAAAGATCATTACTTAACCGTCACTGGAAATACATGCGTTCTGTATTAAATATACGTGGATATTTTCAGAGGAGGCCTATTAAAAGGTGTGGCATGTTTTCAAACGAATTGACTATCGTGAAAACAACACGCATGGGAAAATTGTACTTCTCCTGCACTGGAGTTGACAAAACCAGACATTTGTTTTTCTTGATCTAGTATATTCTCCGTTTACCATTGCAAATGTCCATGTAGTCATCGAATTTTCCCCGATATCCATTGCAAAAGTCCATGTAGTGATCGATTATTCCCCTATAACCATTGCAAAAGTCCATGTAGTGATCGATAATTCCCCGTCCATGTAGTGATCGATTAGTTTACTAATGCAAATGTTCATGTAGTGATCGATTATTTCTCCGTTTACCATTGCAAATGTCCATGTAGTGATCGATTATTCTGATCTAGTATATTCCCCCGTTTACTATTGCAAAAGTTCATGTAGTGATCGATTATTCTGATCTAGTATATTCCCCCGTTTACTATTGCAAAAGTCCATGTAGTGATCGATAATTCCCCGTCCATGTAGTGATCGATTAGTTTACTATTGCAAAAGTTCATGTAGTGATCGATTATTCTGATCTAGTATATTCCCCCGTTTACTATTGCAAAAGTTTATGTAGTGATCGATTATTCCCCGATAACCATTGCAAAAGTCCATGTAGTGATCGATAATTCCCCGTCCATGTAGTGATCGATTAGTTTACTATTGCAAAAGTTCATGTAGTGATCGATTATTCCCCGTCCATGTAGTGATCGATTAGTTTACTATTGCAAAAGTTCATGTAGTGATCGATTATTCCCCGATAACCATTGCAAAAGTCCATGTAGTGATCGATAATTCCCCGTCCATGTAGTGATCGATTAGTTTACTATTGCAAAAGTTCATGTAGTGATCGATTATTCTGATCTAGTATATTCCCCCGTTTACTATTGCAAAAGTTCATGTAGTGATCGATTATTCTGATCTAGTATATTCCCCCGTTTACTATTGCAAAAGTTTATGTAGTGATCGATTATTCCCCGATAACCATTGCAAAAGTCCATGTAGTGATCGATAATTCCCCGTCCATGTAGTGATCGATTAGTTTACTATTGCAAAAGTCCATGTAGTGATCGATAATTCCCCGTCCATGTAGTGATCGATTAGTTTACTATTGCAAAAGTTCATGTAGTGATCGATTATTCTGATGATAACACCAGTGACTTTGGTAAACTATTTTACTGTTGCCTTATAGAACTTTCCTATCGTCTTTGTGATTAGTAAAGACGCCAACATGACGCCAACATGACGAAGCCAATGAACACTTTAATTTGAATATGTATCAAAAACTGAATTCCTATATTGTTGGCAAGTCTTCTATGTGCATCTCAACTTTACAGGGAGTCGGCTTATTATCATTGTTGTTTAACATACGTTGAGAGCTCAAAAGCCATCCCCCACCCACCCAACCCTCTTCGTTAGCCACGTTTCGTGAAAAATGAAATATTTATAAATGTCAATTTTTTCCTATGCACTGCCTTGCAGAATTTGTTTCTTTTAAAATTTAAACAGACCTTATAAACATGTATATTTTACAGTTAGTACAATAACTAATTTGCGATTCTGTTAAACCTTGATTGAGTAACATGGATTACAAAACTGATGCATGCTTCACTGCTTTAAGAAAAGGAGAAAGGGAGGCTGAAGACAGAATGAGGAAGATAGATCGTGATACTGAGAGAGAGAGAGAGAGAGAGAGAGAGAGAGAGAGAGAGAGAGAGAGAGAGAGAGAGAGAGAGAGAGAGAGAGAGAGAGAGAGAGAGAGAGAGAGAGAGTTCCTGCTTTTCCTTCGTATTCATCCTCTTTTCCATTACCGTTTTCGTGGTTTTCCTGATTTCTTTGTTTGTTTTTTAAAATCATGTTTTCATTATCTTTTCCTCTGTTATCAGGCAGTTCAATTATTTCGATTTTATCTCCATTATGTAAGTGGTTCAGAGTATTTGCTAAACGTTTATCGTATTTTGCCAGCTGTGCTATCTGATCTAGTTCTTCTTTTGTGCCGTCAACAACGTTATTCTCTTTATAGCCCTTTTTGTAGTTTGCATCATTATTTAAAGCAGGTTCCTTGGGATAATTTTCATATCCACCACGTGCCTTGTGTATACCACCATCATAGACATATTCCATTCCGTTAACGTCAGATACCGCGTTCTGGACTTGTTCGCTAGTATCGTACAAATCTTCGCCGAGCCTTTTACGTCGATTATTTGCAATTCCTTTAAACCTTGATTGCGCAAAACTGCCAACAAAAAGGATGAACACAAGATAGCTATAGCTTAATCTCATCTTTTAAACGATAGCAATACTAAGTGATGTGTGAATGGCAGAGTTTTTGTCCGACTACTATCTGACGTCATGATAACTTTTACGTCATAATTATGACGCTGAATTTTGGCATTAATCAAACTGAAACCTTATTATATGTATTTGATTATCAACGAACCTTGTAAGCATCACATACCTTATATATGTGACGGCATATCAACATATCAATTGTAAGATTGAGAGAGTGTATGCGTGTGTGTTTGTGATTGTGTGTGTGTGTGTGTGATTTGGATTTTTAACGCATTTTGAACAATTTCGGTCATATTTCTAGTATGTCTAGCACTGGGGCATCATGCTGCAGACATGTAGCATAATGTCTCACTCAGTCACATTGTCATGACACCAGCCCGACCAGTCCTAACACTAACCTCTTAATACTGAGTGCCAACCGAGGCAACTATTAATACCATTTTAATAGTCTTTGTATGACTCGGACGGGGTTCGAACCCGCGACTTCCTGATTCGGAGGCAGACACTCTAACCACTCGGCCACCTAAATGGTCCGCAGGTACAATGTACTGTTTACAGTCTGAGCCGGACGCTTAACAGCTTAAGCCACCGAAGCGGATTTAGATTTAGAAAGTCTCCGACTAATTTTATTTTATTGTTATAGAAAGTATTGCTACTCATTATACTCAAGCTACCCATTATACTTGTTGAATTTTTTTTTTCAGTAGCCTCTTTCCGAAGCGGAAGAAACACCTCTTCATTTAAAATTTAAGATATCGAGTAAAGCTATATTTCACCCACTTTTATCATACAATAAGTAAGTTCTTATAAGTAACTGTCGCAACTCTATTTAAGGATGATTCAATAAATTGAATATCTGTAATTCTTTTATTCAGTCATTGATTTGATTGGAATCATTAGTCACGATAAGGGGAAAGAAGCCAAAATATTAAGAAATTCAGGGTTATCTATAATTTGAAATACTGAAAGACTAATCCCTATGGAAAAAAAATTTGATTACGACACGTACTTAGCTAGAATTAAGATATGCTAGACTCCGCACGAGCGGACGAACAGTATAATATAATATCCATCCCTTCTTCGATGTTTGCAAGCTAGGTATCATCGAATATTTGGTCATAAGTTTTATGAACATCAAATCTCCATTAGACGTGTTAATTTTTAGTAGATATTTTTAGCAATGTCTGCTTATTCTATCAAGGCAAATGTTCGGGAATTTAATCTTCAACTGTTTGTTATTTAAGTACATTTTCATTATAATATTATGCAAATTTACAAATTGAAACTTGTGAACGTTTTAATATTGGCGACTATTTTGTGTACGCCCCAAAAGTGCACTAATAAACCCTTCGCCGAAAGTACACGATATATATTATACGAAATACACTATATACTGCAATGGGCATCAAACTTCGATAAGAACCGTAGCAAACTTTGAATCTGACGAATAAGGCGCGTGATACAGTTGCTTTCCAAAATTTACGAATAATCTGTTGAATCTGTTATATTTGAACTTAAACATTACCTTATGTCAATTGTACTGCATAACACTGTAAATTTGCCGGCGTACCGTATGTACTCGCTTATAAGTTTAGTCCAACTGCAAAATGCATAGACCCAAATCTTCGTTCCATCCATACGCAGGCAGATCTAGATCTATACAGTTTGTTAAGAGTAATCACTACAACAAACAACATGCACCTTGATCTGCATTGTAGTAGGGTAGATCATGGTCTACGATGTTGGCAGTCAAGTGTCATATAACATCATCCAGTGTCTCACCAATTGTATGCTTATGACACCTATATATACAAATCTAGCCATCCAGCTGAAGTTGAAGCTACATAACATACAAGACATAGAGAGGTGCATTTCTGATGTGAAATCATGGATGACATGTAACAAGCTGAAGATGAATGATGATAAAACTGAAGCAAACCTGACTACAACACAAAGACTTTCTCATTCACATCCTTTACCTCAGACAATAAATAGCAGCAACACAAAAATTAAATTCAAGCATTCAGTATGAAACCTCGGTGTCACTCTTGACAGTTTTCTTTCATTGCATCAACATGTCATGAACATATGCAGGGCTGCATATCTTGAGCTGAGACGCATCAGCTCCATTCGCAAGTATCTGTCAGTTGATGCCACTAAAACACTTGTGTGTTCCTTAGTACTATCAAGACTAGATTTTTGTAATTCTATTATGTCTGGTTCAGCTCAATATCTATTTCAGAAACTTCAAAAAGTTTAAAACACTGCTGCTCGGATCATTCTTACAGTAGCATGAGCACAATATGCCTCTCCGCTGCTCTGTACCCTACACTGGCTATCCATACGATCCAGAATTAAACACAAGATTTGTTCTCTGTGCTATGTTTCACTGACGGCCTCCAGTCCAACATACCTATCTGACATCACCCATGTGTATACACCTGCAAGATGCTTACGCTCTTCTTCCGACACTCATATTCTCAATATTCTCACTATGAAGTTCAAATCATTGACAACGTTCTTTTGCATACCAGGGACCAGCAACATGGAACGAATTGCCAACTAAACTTAGACACAAAGACACAGTGATCTCGTTCAAGATCGACCTTAAAACCCATCTATTTAAACTGCAAGAACAGAAACAATGACCTAATAATGTATTTTTTTTAACGTATCCTTACCTTAAAAATTTACAGCATGTTTTTCTGTTTCTAATTTTTTGTTCTTTGTTTTATTTATTTTTGTAATCATTTCAATATATGTGCTTTTTATTTTTTAAGAGTTGTCAAATGTTGTAAAGCGCTTAAAGCTTCTAAAGATTAGGCGCAATATAAAATCTTTGTTATTTATTATTATTATTATTATTATTATTATTATTATTATTATTATTATTATTATTATTATTATTATTATTATTATTATTATTATTATTATTATTATCAGTGAGACTTACCTATATAAGAACCGGTATAGTTGATCTAACCCCAAACTGCAGAGCTCCATTTACAAGCAATCTACTATGTATACGTTCCCTAGAAATTTAAGATACTAAAAGCATCTTGCGTAAAAAAAAAATCTTTATCACGTCACTGACCTAAAAGTCGTAAAATATACTCGGCTTAACGAGCTTAGAGCCTGAAACGAGACCGACTAGTTCTAACACTAACCTAACCTGTTAAGACTCACTGGAAAATCTGGTAAATTTTCATCCGACAATGACTTATTGCAGAAAAATGAGGCAGTTGTCAACATACGAAGTTATCCAGTGAGACCTTAATGCTGAGCGCCTAGCGAGGCAACTGTTAGTACCATTATTAAAAGTCTTTTTTATGACTCGGCCGGGGTTAGAACCCGCGACTTCCTGCATCCGTGGCGGTCGCTTAAAACCACTAGGCCAGTGGATCGGTCAGCAGGTACAATGTAAGTTAACAATCACCTATAGTGAAAAGTGGAAACAGTCCTAAGCGTGGAACGTTGAAATAGGGTATAATGCTTTCTACAAAACACATACAGTATGATTGATTTCCACATAGCACCTACAACATGAAACATTTAAATATATAAATTGATACATTGCTTTCCACACAACACATACAGTATGATACGTTCAAATACCTGGATGAGTCTATAAAATGAAAAAAGTAAATAAAAATTTATCTTTTAACATAGCATAGACACCGACAGTAAAATTGAATTAGATTTAAAGGGGTAAGAGTCGCACATTTCACTCATTATTATATCTACAGATTATAACATTGTCATGAAATGGGATTAATTAGAAGTCAAGATATTATAACCGGCTTATTTTGATTTAATGAGGTATCCCTATTGACATGCTATCATGCACAACTATCAATTAGCAAGGGCAGATAACTTTTCATGACTAAAATCGTATCTGCAAAAAGACGTATTTCATTCAGAGTTAGGTCAAGATAACCAAAAGTAGTTCAAAGCTGGTTTAGAATATCCTATTACACAAAATTAAATCTATTTCGCGACCTTTCGACGATGAGCTCCTAAGATAGAAATACATCTTTCATTTCGGCCGTGTTCACTGATACGGAAGAGCAATCAATTAGATGGTTGGTTGAAAAATACACTTAAAACATTGTATAGAAACCAATTTAGGAAACCGATACTCATAGCGAATAATAAAAATAACGCCAACGATTGTCATTTGAATTCATCCGTGGCTGACTCCATGTAATTACTGTTAACTTATTGGTTCCCTCAAAGATTAAATAAGTACCTTTCTCATATGAGATGGTCTTAGTTTAGTTTTTCAATTAACTGGATAATTATGTCTCTATGTTGCCATCTTTGTGAGAAACAAAATACCCTTATCTTGATCACATATTTGACTTGGTTCGATAAATGAAAATGAAAAAGTTTATTTAATTTTGATTACAAATATTTAAAATCTTATAGGGCTTTTTAAATTTTATCGATTTGAATCGTGTTATTCTCTTTAACTCTGTGTTATAGTCGGATCAAACCAAATTACTTTACACTTTAATTTTGAGGAACATATTGCTTACCATTCAGGTCATTTTTACTTTATTAATTTGAGATCAAGTTGGCTTTGTGACCAAAGAAAAATCTTCCCTAAATTCGAATAATCAAATTTTCGGATAATGAGGTACAGCTTCCCCATATTCGGATAATCAACTTTTCGGACAATGAAGTACAGCTTCCCCATATTCGGATAATCAACTTTTCGGACAATGAAGTACAGCTTCCCCATATTCCGATAATCAACTTTTCGGACAATGAAGTACACAAAATTTTCTTAATGCCCAAGATAATCTTAAGAACGAATTATAATGTTTCACCGCAAGTTCAGCTTGGGTTCTTTCGTGTCAATATTCAAAAAGTGAACCATTAGAACGTGAGAGAGAGAGAGAGAGAGAGAGAGAGAGAGAGAGAGAGAGAGAGAGAGAGAGAGAGAGAGAGAGAGAGAGAGAGAGAGAGAGAGAGAGAGAGAGAGAGAGGGGGGGGGGGGCTGGCGGTGAAGAGGCAAATTATAAGAATATTTTGAGGAATTTTATGCCTAGTGCGTAATCATAGCATTTTTTCATTCCTCTTACAACCAAACATAAATGTGTATTATTAATTGCAAATTGTTCAATTCAAAATCGTTCCAAACATGGTTACAGTCTAAATATTCCAACATAGTTACAGTTTAAATATCCTAACATGGTTACAGTTTAAATATCCCAACATAGTTACAGTCTTAATATCCAAACATAGTTACAGTTTTAATATCCCAACATGGTTACAGTTTAAATATACCAATACGGTTAGAGTTTTAATATCCCAACATGGCTACAGTTTAAATATCCCAACATGGTTACAGTTTAAATATCCCAAATTGGTTACATTGTAAATATTACAACATAGTCAGTCTAAATATTCCAACATGGTTACAGTCTAAATATACCAACAAAGTTACAGTTTGAATATCCCAACATGGTTACAGTATAAATACCCCAACACGGTTATAGTCTAAATATCCCAACATAACTGCAGTCTA